GCCCTATCAGAGTTTTTAGTATAGAAATCTATCTTATGTTATTACCTGAACAGCTTTCTCTACCAATTCCTGTATAACAGCTGTATTAGATGATGATATAGTTTGACCAGCACTAGTTAGAGATTCTACTATACTTCCTTGTACTTTATGTGATTCTGAAAGCAAAATTTTAGCAATAAAATATATTATATTTCCCATTTGCTTCACTGTTAAGGTCATGAAGAATGTCAAGGTGAAGTTGCAAATACAATGGTATAAATAAGATAAATAATCAATTGTATGTATCATGTACCTCAAGAAACAATAAACTTAACTTACTCTCAGTATTGAGCAATGACATTAGCCCATTGATAATCTCAGCTACATCACAGCCTGGCAACTTAGACATCTCACCTATCAATTCCACCATCTTACATCTAACTATTGTCTCTTTTTCATGAGAGAAGTGATCTAGAATTTGAGTCACCACATGACTGGTCTGTTCTCCTTGTATAGGTAGTGTATTGCCAAATCTCAATAATATATTTAACACATCTTGGGAGTTGGTTGCAGACGACAAATTCAGATTGATTTCAGACGTCACTGGTTTCTGTACAAGTCTTAGCTTCTTTATTGGTTTTGGTTCCTCCTGAAGGTGCATAACAAATACATGTACTAATAAATCATTTATTCACAACAAATTTGTTATATTTGAGGTGGAACTAAACACTGGCGGAGGGCGAAATATCTCAGATTTCTCGAATTTCTAACCTAGTTATAAGATTTTTGCCCGAAAAACTTGCTTTAAGGGCTAACGTATAAAGTCAAGGATGTGAAGTAACACAAAAAAATTAGAACATTATTTGATAAGGATTTCCACTAAACTGGAAGGTTGGAAAATTACACCCACCACGAAATATGTACCGGTACACAAATATTGTTCTCTGCAGGGCAAACAAGAGCGGGAATAGGATACCTGTATAACTTGACTGTACTCAGCAAGTGCTCTCTTCTTTAAAAGAGCAGCCATGGTGATTCTATTAAATTCAGCGACTGGTATTTATATTTATCTTTTTGTGTTTCTTGAACCTTTCACTACTTCCATTTTCAAGGGGACATAACTACTGATTTGCTCTTCCTTGTGGACTCACTCCACTAAAACATTTTATGCAAATGATTGTATAGGAATGTAGTCCAGGCTATTTTTAGAAATCTTCTTTCTCTCTCCCTTTTGGGGTTTTTGCCTGCCTATTTTTGGGTAAAATTTGGTCTAGATTTGGAATTTGATGTCTGAAATTGCATTATCTTTCAGATTTGGTGAGATGATGAGAGACTTAAAGGCGGAAGGCTAATTCTAAAAATAGTCGTTTTGTGAAGTGCCAAACTCTAGCGGATGAGTATAACCGGTAGTAGTCTACTTTCAATTTTAGTAGCTCAAAATTTTCATGGTCATCATATAATGAATTTTTTAGGAGACATTGAGAATTGGTCAGGCTTTCATTCGACATATTGGAAAGCTTTCAACGAGATTTCTGGAAAAAGTTATAGAAGGTTGAATTTCGTGTTTTAACATGGGAAGAGATGGCAAATGAATTAGTGGAGTGAGTCCTGTTGTAGAGGAAAGAAAGGTCATTTATTTTATTTCATTTACCCAGACGTAAATGTCAAATAAAATCCAGAATCAAATTAGGTCTTGACAATCTAGATAAAACAAAATGGACGTAATAGTTGAAGAACACGTCAATCCTGACGATTTAAAGGTTAATTTTATACTTTTTTGATCTCAACACTTGTTTTGAGTAAGAAT